ACCTACCCTGAAGGTTTAACGTATAACGTATAGTGTACTCTTAATATAAGTTAACAACGTAAACATTGCCTAACCCCGCCCTAACAAAAGTCAAGCCCATCTCAGGACCCACAGAAAGATATGCTGACCTACGGTCTATCATCAATTAAAAGATAAATAAACTATATGAATTCCTGCATAGTGAAAGCCTAGTGTGGGGTAGGGATTAGCCCCTAGCCACAAAAGAGTAAAAGTGCGCAATAGCACTAACTCAGGAAACCACAATAACAACAACAACAAAATTTAATATGAATATCGAGTAACATCCACATTCATCACATCCCAAAATTTCTAAAGTCGTTCATTTGATATAGTAAATATGTTGTAATGTTGTATATAGTAAACGATTGCAATTACTCGGAAAAATGTGTCAAAATTTTATGTAAATATATGAGTGTATATATGTAACATTAAATATGAGTGACTAATTTAAATTTAAACATATAGACAATCACTACTTAATTGATCTATTTCATCTAGCTATCTAACTTTATAAGACTTCTATTATCTGCATTGCTGTGTTACACAAACTGTTATTGACAAAGTTAATAAATTCTTTTAGGACTATATGAAATGGTTCACGACGTATTTGATCTATTTCGTTGAACTTTAGGAAGCACCTAATGTCCCCTTTATTGTGTTAAAATTATCTTTTTAAACTTAGTATATTTGTACGGTATCAAATATCATTGCCAAAAGATCTAGTACAATGAAATAGGCCACAATTTTTTTTGTTTCTTAAGTTTAGTATTCTAGGTACGATTAAGCAATTGTCGTTGACTATAATATCTCACCACTCTCACTGTAGTCTACCATTATTGAATATAGTAGCCAGCGACTATTAAAGTTAAGATAAAAAAGAGGAGCACAGCTTCCCTACTCGTTGTATATTATAAAATATGGTTCTATTGTCAATTATTTAATTTTTTTTATGAATGAAAGAGTATGTTATCTTTTTCTGCAACACATCTAAACATAAATTGCCAAAGTGTGCCTTTTATTCAAAAAATGGGTTAAATGTCTAAACCTGTCTACAATTTATTCAATCAATGTAGATTCAGATATATGAAAACGTTCGTAGAAATAATTCTTAAAATATTTTTGCATATTTAGGATATTCTTGTGATGCATATAAATTTTTAAGTGAATGTCCTTTATATTTTGTTGTTTAATAGCACATCCTTGTGCTATATTTGTGTTGCTCATTTTTATTGTTCGTATCAATTTATGCTCTATTTATGCCCAAATTATTTCCAAAATGCTGTTGTGCAAAACCATAAATGTAAATTTTTTGAATTTTTAAAGAATTTTGAAGTGTTTTGTGGTAAAACAATAACAAAATCATTTACATTCCATGTCAACTAACGGACGAACTTTACGGTAAAATTTTGATTGTAGAAGTGAAGTAGGCTTAAAGTAAATCATCGAGTTTGCTTTGATTTGCAAATTTAATTATGGATGAGTTTTAATAGTTTTAATGATCAAAATGGTTTCAACTGAATCAATTCTATCTCAATCTATTGAACCGTCTGACATGTGTTAGAAATGTTGGTACTATTTTATTGCATATTTATAAGATACAGTATAAAAAATTAGAAGTAAACAATTTTTCTCAAAGAAAAACTGACATTTGCATTGATAATACATTTTTGTGGTACAACAAATTAGTTGTTGCCACTGTATCTGAAGCCATTTTTGTATATCGAAACCACAAAAAAGGATTTCACAAATATTTTAGTGATGCTCTATGTACAAATACGAATACAATATGTTTCTTGCAAAATGTGGTTTAAAATGAATGCATTTCGAAATGCTTAGAAACTCTTGATGTATTTGTATAAATGTTGTATTTGTATGAACGTTTATTAAGAATAGTAGTACTAGAACGTTTCAATGCACTTTATTTTGTATCCTTAATTTTTTAAATTTATTTTCTAATTTCAACTTTGCATTGCATATGTATTCCGATAGTGTTTCATATGTTTATGTTAACAAAAAATAAAAAAAAACATCTCAATTCATAAACGCTTGTTTGTAGCAGTTATGTACTCGCACCTTGGCTTACGTAGAAGTACATTATTGTTTATTAAGTTTGATGTACGTAAACTTATGCTAAGCAACATTTAAACCGCATAATTTTTCTCCTTTTGTATCTGTATCTGAATCTTTGCTTACGTATGCTTCACCAGCAATTTGAGCTCTTGAGTTTGCTGCTTGCTCACGTTTAGATACATATTGCTTTTTTGCATTGTCGCACATCTTCGGTTAAAAGCACATATCCTTCGCATGTCTAGAGTGCTAGAGTGCTATGACTGGAGTTCGAAAGTTGGCTTCGGAAATGTTCTCCTGTAGTGGCTGTTAATCTAATTTGCTTTGCCGTACGACATAACTTTCTAGTAGTGCTGTCAATAGATAGACACAGGAGAATATCTGCAATATTTTTTCTTTTCTTTTCCTTACTATTTTAACTTATTTACAGTAGATTGGTTGTGAAGCTACTTAAGCAATTTTTCAGAACATTAAAGTATCTATAAAAAAATATGCAAATAAAATGCTAAATAAAGACATTGTAATTTGTGTTTTCTGCTTATGTGAACTTAAAACATATTTGGTAATAAAAATAGTTTCTTCATATATCTTTCTATATTCTTCTATGTTATATTATTTGAGAAGCTTCAATTTCTGAACCACTCCGAATTGATGATTACAAATCGTGTAGATACATTCACTTTCCACAGTTTCCACACTTGTCGTGAAGTACTAGAACTAGTGCAAATATAAAAAATTACTTCCGCTACTGTACATCAATTGAGCAAAATAAACAAACCATAGAAATGAACTTTAATAAAAGCCAAATCAAAAATAAATAAATTTTTAAAAACCAAAGCAACAAGACAGAAATGTAAATAATTCCCTTGAAAAGTAAACAGCAATCGTAACTTCTTTATTATTCAACTCCATTTCGTGCAACTCCTTTTATTTGCTCCCATATCTCTATATCTCTTTTCCTAAACACATTTTTTTGGTTTTATTCTCAGTGTAAATTTCCTACAATAATATTCCATCATTATTTAATGTCCTTGAATTTTAAGGAAAGCAAGGCGTAAGCGTTCGCTTTAAGACTGCTTTAGGAACAGTAGGGTTTTGAAGCACCCAACGGCGTCATCAATATACAAGGCATTGTGCGCAAACTTAAAGGATTTGTGTGGCATAACAAAATACAACACGGAAAGAATTCTCCACTTTTTCTCCGCAAAAAATCGAAAAGAACTTCAGCAAGGACTACCTCAATAAATTCTATAGCAGGCACGTGTATACATTGAACGTGCAGTTTTTTACATTCATATCTGAGCATCCTTTGGTGTTTAGGTGTATGCATTCATGTGCTGCGGTGAAATTGAAATAAATTATGAGGCAGCCTTGGTGGCATGGATGGAGTCAGAAAAGGAGAATGTTAAATTCTAGAAACACAAAACGTTTGAAGTCTATTCTAAAAGGATTCAAAGTATGCTGGTGCTTCACAAAACAAATCTAAAAGATTAGGATTACATTGTATAAGAAGAATATTATGTTTAAGATGTACAATGTTAAGAACGAGCGCAACACAGAATTTTAAATCACTGAATTAAAATTGAAAAATTGTAAAAGGATTCATTATTAAAATGCATATAGCATAAAAATAATTTTGAATTCAATTTAAAATTAAAAAATCTTGATCAAAACAGGAATATATATAAAAATCTAATCCTTTTCCAAAAATCCAAACAAGGCATTAGAAGGTTTAGAAAGTATTGATATTTTAATTTAATAATATTAAACTTATATAGACATAATTATCGATACTTACAGCCCGTGCTCGAAATGCTTTTTTTGCAACGCAACATCCTGTCAAATTTTTGACTATGTGGATACTGTAAGCCGAAGAAATGTTGCTCAAAAAGTGGTAGTAGTCTGCAGTTCAAGGTAGTTGTCTGAGGATCATTGTGGCAGTTTAACAGAAGAAGATAGATTAAATCCATGTTTCTTTGATTCAATGTTGTGTATATGTTATTTTAACACAATGTTCCGTCAATGTTTTTTTTATCAATTGAGCGGGATGTTGCATATACTCTTAACTACCTACAGATATATAATAAATCAGAAGAAAAAGATGGAGTATTGATTGATTGTTATTGAAATTGATTTGTATAAAAAATAATTAATTAGTTAAAAAATATTTTAATAGAAATAATGTTTAGTTTTTCGTTATCTTTATAAATTCTTAATATACTTTGTTATATAAATATACAAATTCATAGCGCTACAATACCTTGAACTGAATTATGATACATAAATAGTGTACATTTTATCTTAAATTTAAGGAAATTCGCATAACATTTCACTGCGAAATAATGTCACAAAGCATAGAACCCAGATCGAATGTTGAATTCCGTTTCGAATTGGATAAAAAAGTTGAAGAGTTCAGTATTGCAAGCACATGTTAAAATTTCTGGAAAGAATCTGTCAATTACGTCAGCAATTGTAACTGATGATAAACGGTGATGGTTTCAAGCCAAAATTACCAGAAGAAATTAACAGAAGGAAAAGTAAATAACTTTTTCAGAAGAATAAAATTAAGACATTGCAGATATTTTTGTCTCAGAAGATCAGACTGTGAATGTATTGTATTGTAGAACTAAGGGTTCTTTCAGTTCTTCAAGGATTACGCATCAAAATTATTTATTGTTCGGTTGGGTATCATTAGACAAAGCTTTAATAACGTAAACTTTTAACCAAAAGCAAATCTTATTGATCTTATAATTTCAACTTATTCATCTGATTTAAATCGATGCGTCTACTGGATATTCCACAAATCGAAATTGACCCTGAAAGAAAATCAATACTATTTCAATACTATTCCATTTATCGTCGTATCATCGGATCTATTCGTTTTCTATTCTAAATTATCTGATAATTTAAATATTTCTTAATAGCTATACCATAGTTAAATTCTGTTTATGTATTTAAATAAAAAACAAGTTCGAGCCAAATTATTATATACAAATTAAGTATTTAATGATTCAAACTTGAAATTGAAATGAAAAGCATTTATGCTATTAAATACCAACTGGTAGCTGTGAAAGCACATTTATATCTATTAAAAACAGCATATTTAGTTGCGTTTAATATTTAAATTAAATACTTTAACCTTTTTTTGCATCTAGAATATTTAAAATTTTAAACAAATGAAAAGGGTTTCCCTAGAACCTCAATGTACAATGAACCACGTACAGAGAAAGCCTTCAGTTTGCTCAAAGCCCTTTCCACACACTGCTGTGTATGTTAATAGCCTGTTTTATGAAAAATTAAGCAAGGAGTGCTTAAACAAATTTTCAGCATGTTGGCTCAGAACTCTTCTGTCTGCCAACTATACTCTTATACTCGTATATTCGTATACTCGTACAAAAACCGCACGGAAATTATGCTAAAATTATGGGAACTTCAAAGCAACAACTTGCAACAGATTATACTCGTACCTAAGATTGCTAGACTCGCAAGTGTACACGACGCTACATAAGTTATCTGAAACGTGCCGAAAATATTGTTGTGAAATTACTGGCAGACTCTGGTAGTCAGAGTGCCCGAAATTTATATAGCACGTCTTTGTCGCTCCTCAGGAACAAATGTACATTAATGACGGTTGCAGAAGTTTTCGTAGGAAGTCAGAGCAAGTCACACTGCCAAGTGTTTGTAGTTAAAATTCCATTTTAGTTTCTGCAGGTTGGTCCGTCTGGCTGGCTTATGTTGTAAAATTAAATTTTAAATCAATTTGCTGGAAGTATTTTGTCGTGTGCTCGTTATATTTTCCTTTATGAATTAACATCATAAAAAACTGAAAGTAGCTGAATAAAACTAAATATTTTTTGTATTTTTTGCTGGTAGCGTTTTTTGTTTTTCAACTCCAAATAATTAAAAATTATTAATTTATAAACCATTTTCTAATAGTTTTCTAACATGAAAACAACATTTTTGTTTATAATTTTTAAGACAAGTATCAACAGTTGAACTCTTTGCAATACTTGACTATAAATAAATTTAAATTTGAAGAATTTTGAAATTGAATTGATTTAATGTTAGTTACCAGATATCGATATATAAACATATTAGAAAGATTTTTAATGTGATTGATACTAATAAATTAAGATACAAAAAATAACTATAGAGCATGGCATAAAAGTGAAAAAATTGTGCTAAAACCTATTTGTACTATTTTATTACAAAATCTACCTTAATAGGTCACAGCTTCATCTCCTTGTTGGTAGATCAGCTTGCGCTTCCATTGATTCCGCTTACCAGGAACATATGTTTTTTAAAAATGGGTGTAAAAATCTAGATTCCGCTTGCCAGTAACATATGTTTTTTAAAAATGGGTGTAAAACCTATTTATACTGATTTGTTTCAAAATCTACCCTAATAGGTCTGAGCTTCATCTCCTTGTTGGTAGATCAGTTTGCGCCTCCATTGATTTCGCTTACCAGGAACATATGTTTTTTAAAAATGGTTGTGCGGTTTGCTAATATTAAATGAAAAACTTTATTTTATAATAATGTTGGCTGTTTAATGGTTAATGGTTAAATATTATTCTATCAATTAAGTTGGCATATTTTTTTAGGTGGAGAAATTATTTTAAATTAAAATACAAATTAATTAGCAAATTAATTCTGAACTTTGAGTAATTTGGAATTTTATAATATTTAAAACCTCATAAATAGTTAAAAAAGCTTATAAATTTATTAATTACTAAATAAATGAAAACATTGCATTTTGAAACTATTTGTGGTTTTATTCTCTGAAATATTTAAATTAAATAAAATCCTTAGTTTTTAAATATTCACAAATTTGCAATTTTAAATGTTTGATTTAACAGGATTTAAATAAATAAATGGTTGGTATGTGCCATACAACCCGACAAAAAAATCAAATAAAATAATTTGTATTTCTATTAGAAGAATCGTTGCGAATCGTTAACTATGGTATCTTATGTCCACCCACCCCATCAATTAAATCAGTTATGATAAATAAGAGGAAAAAAAATTTAAAGAAAACAAAAATTAACTTCATTGCCTTATGCGATTCTCTAGATCTACAATAGAAAAATAGCTCTATTTGTAGTAAACCAAATTCTCTTTATTAAACGTTAAACAGATCATATCCAGATTGCCCTAATAGAAAGAAGTAGTACAACTACAGCATGCACGTTTTTTGGTCTAAAAATACACTTTAAAAAATAATGGAATATATGTTTCTGGAATATAGATGCCTACTACAGAGTCTACATAGCGGTTTAACCATTTGGTAAATACCATTTGTCCAAACCATTTAGTATCAAAAAGGACCAATGGATATATGTGTGACTTACGACCAGCCAGATCAACCTAAGTTACGTTATTCCTATTTCAGCACTTTCTCTTCTACGCTTTTTTGGTGGGATTTTTTTATTTAAGATAACAAAGACTTAATAATAATAATTAACAATTAAATAAATATTAATTAATCAAACTTGTGAGAAAAATGTGAGAACATGAAAGTAAAGTGCAGATTTGGGTCAGTTAATTAAGGTGTACTGACACTGAGTTTGAAATTTGGTAGGGCACGAGTTCGATTCCTGGTACTTGCAGCCTCAAAAACTATTTACGAATAATTAAGACAAGAATTATTTCCAAGACCACTGATGATGGGTATTTGGCAGTAATCGGAACAGTTGTATGGTCAGCCGAAAATTCAATTAAATAAAATAATATAAAAATGAGTTTTTGTTGTTGTAGTTCACTACTTTTCGAGAAATCTCTTTATAATTATTAATTTAAATACAAGTTTCAGTCCTTCAAACTGTCATTACTTTGTTTTTAATTCGTTACTTTAAGAAAATATTTTTGCCAATCCGTCTTCCAGTTCCAAACATTACTATTCATTTGTCTTTTCGACGAATAATAATTGATAGGGTTTTATCAAAATTGGACATATATTTTTCACACGTATCCACATCATATATGTATGTCTATATAAATATATATATATACTTAAATATGTATATATTTGTGGATATGAAAATGTTTTGGGGATGCCTTCCTATGAGAAGGAAATAAAACACAAATCAACTTTTTCTCTTTATTCGCATCCTCACCTCTATTTTTTAAGGGAACAGAACCTTTTTGAACTCTCGGATATCGTAATTTAAGCACAAGTGGACCTTCATCATACTTTACTGTACGCTTAAAAAGCATTAAGCTAACCATTAAAGGCTAGTTTTATGGTTCTTACCAAAACCATAAAAGTCAACATAAAAACCCTTAACAATATTAAACAGATAAAAAGTTTATTAGAGCACATAAAAGTCAACCTCTCCGGAAAAGAAGAAGAAATCCAAAACTGCCACGAAAGTGGGAAAGGTAGGAGGTTCACGTGTTTTGCAGCACTTGCGTGTGAAAACTACAAATGCATATGGATTTGAATACACACACGAGTTTTGCTTACGTGCGAGTATGAGTAGAAGTAGGAGTTGAGTGCGAGAAATGAGAAGTGTGGCGTGTGGCGTGTGGAGTGCTTTGTGGTCGCGTGCTACAACTGTGAGCGCGTAGTTATTTCGAGCTTTTAATAGCTTCGTTTCTATTGTTGTTGTTGTTGTTGTTGTTGTTGTTGTTGTTGCTGTTGTTGTGTGTGTAATTGTAGTCGCTTTTTTTATTACAGTTGCTAAATTTTGCTAATGACGCGAAAATTTTAAGTCACGTTTCTTAGTGCCGCGAACAACAAACAACCAACATTATTGTTCTTGTGTTGTTATTGTCATTTAAAATGCTGGCACGTTCCAGACTTTACATATGCACGCCACTAATTTATGAGAGTATGCGAGCTTAGACACACATACATACACCTTTTCATCGAGAATGAAAATTTCATTCACTCACGATGAAAATCTTAATTTCTTCTATCCTTTGCGGTTTAGAATGCAATTCTAAAATTCTCGTTTTGGATTAATTTTCTCAAGAAAAGTCTACACCAGTTTCATAACTGAAATAATTTTCCTATATTTTCTTCTTTCAGCCACATGTCCGCCATCATATTTCAAATGCAACGACGGCCCTTGTATACCGATGCGCTGGAAATGTGATTCTAAACGCGACTGTGTGGATGGTTCCGATGAGCTGCACGATTGCGGTAAGTTCGGTTATAGAAGTATACTACTAGAAAGTTCATTATGTGATAAGCCACGTCTTACTGAGGCTGTTATGTTCATATATGAAAAAAGTAATATTATGTTGAGCCTTTTTCAAGTTGGTGCATCTGGGTACTTTTACTGTTTGATAGCTGGGGGGTTTTCTGCAGAGTCCCATGTTCATATATGAAAAAAGTAATATTATGTTGAGCCTTTTTCAAGTTGGTGCATCTGGGTACTTTTACTGTTTGATAGCTGGGGGGTTTTCTGCAGAGTCCCATCCATGTCACTGACTAATTTGTGTTTCCTCATAAGCGAAAAAATAATAAAGATGTTAAAAAAGACAAATACACATTTTTTCGTATTTGACTTATCATTTCTTATGATAGTTGTGTCTATAATAAATCTGAATCGATATGCATACATTTTGAAAAAGTACTACATGCTATTCACATTCAATATATACTCAATTTAAATAAATTGCTTTGCAAAAAGATAAAAAACCTGAGTTCCGAGTTCAGATATAGGTAATCGGTTATAAGTTTTAGTCATTTCAACGAATATATAACGAATATGAATATTTCTTTTTCGAAAAGTATATTATACTTATATTTTCAAAATTTTATTCAAAAGCAGTGTTCTAAACTCTTGGAATAAATTCTATCAATATCAATAAAAGTTATGTGTTTGGACATCTAAACCTTGTTATCAATTATACTCCAAAAAGTTACAGAGTCGTGTTTAATAAATTTTAATCGTCTTTTACGTCAGGCATGCCTGATTTCGGGAATATTCTAACCCCTATTCCGAATTGCGGTTGACACAGAGAAATAAACGTAATACAGAAAAAAACACACAAAAACTAAAAGACAAGTAGATTTGTCTCGTATCGCTGATAAAAAAATCTACATTTTATAGGGCCTTGATGCTTTTTTACTCTTAAACAAACTTCTTATAAGTATAATATATTTTTATCAAATTACGTAAGTGAGATATCTGGACAGAGATCGTCCCTGTTGAATTAATTATAAACATTTTTGATTTCACATTCCTCGTAATTCCAGGTCAAGGTTTGCCTGATATTGATATCTGAAGGTGTTGTGTAGTGAGTTGAACAATATCCTGGTGAGCAGCGGCTGTCTCTTCCTTGGATGAAAGCGATCATAAGCTACAGTAGTTGTGATCATGCAAGTACAGCGTTAATGTTTAAAGAGTATAAAATGCAAAATAGGTATAAATATATTTTTAACACTGCTTTCAGGCCAGAAGGGATCTACATAAGAATAAATTTCCGTCTATATGTGGTAAACTGGTGAGCAAATGAAAAGAATATTACATCGAAGAATCGAGAACTTCTACAGTAAACTGCCTGTAAATACAAAAACCCATACATATTATTTTGATAATTTTGCAAACATATAGACCATCTATTCGTTATGAAATACTTTTTGGTGCACTTTTAGGAAGTGAGAACCGCCGCGTATGCTCCCGTTGGCTACGCCCATACTGCTTATGTCTTGAAATCAACTTTTAAATTAGTGGGTTTTTCATTATATATGATAGTGGATCGTTAAAAAATCTGAATATTATAGAAAGGCTATTTATTATTCCCTAAAAGAACTATTTCTAATTTTGTTTAACAATTATTTTTGAATTAATCAAGAGTTACATCTGGATATTTAAATTTTTAAATAGATGTGATTTTATCTTCATTAGATGTTTTTAATAATGCATATAACCATTCTAAAAAGGTATAGTATCCTGTTGTAATTTCTGAAATTTATTTTTAATAAGTCAATTATGAGTTCATCAGTTACAAAACATTTGTATTTTGATTAAATACTATTTATTTATTAAAAAAAATTCTACACTTATTAATTGAAAAATTCTACACTTATTTTATTTTTAGTTATTGTTTAGACATTTTTATTAAAAGGAATCTACTTCTGTCGTCTTTCCCTTCGTCTTTCGGCACTAACTTGTGGTAATTGAAATATTTCATCAAGTGTCACATGTCTACGTTTTCATTGAAATTAATTATATGAGACGACAATGCCTTCACGACATGGCATCAGGGCATGGTAACACATCACATCAGTTCGCATTGCATCGATATTGCCTATTGTCCACCCCACAGCCTAAATTGAAATAAATTAAGCTGGAGACAATGTTCAGTTTGTTCAGTTCATTCAGTTTGCTCTGTCAACAGTGCACTGACGAATGAATGCATTTATGGAAAAATTTGAAAACTTTTATCTTGGCAGGTTATTCGTTAAGTTAAATTGTGCATTGCTACCGCAATTACAACCCATGGAATTTATAATTTTATTTTATTTGATTGTAAAGCCTCTCTATTCCCATGCACTAAGGTGCTCTACATTGATTCCATTTATAGACAACGTAGCGGACTTTTGAACTTGTCCCGTTCATTTTCAGACGAATGTAAATAAGCGAATGTGAACTTTATTTGCAATGTTATGAATACCAGTGAACTCTTTCAACCCACCATGTTGGAATAATTCTATAAATTTATTTGCTATCCATTTGGTATATCTTGAGAAACATTGATTGTTGAAATTAATAATTTATTTGAAATCTACATTATTAATTTTTCATTTCGATTTATGATGAATATCGTAATTTACATCTCATATTGAAAACTATAATATGAATATCGAAAATTTACATTGTGTTTGATATTTAATGAAGTTATATTAAATCATATTAAAAAAAACGTTTAAAGTAATATATTAACTAAGATTATCCTATTTTATAAATCTACGTTCCTTCACAGTACGTTATCTGTCTGGTCATTTTAAATTGTCTGGTCATATTGTCTGAGGTAACAGAATATTATTCGAATTTTAGTTAAATTTTTTGTAACCGTCAGGTTTGGGTGCTAGAAGGAATATTTTTGACCATCGGCTGATATTAGGAACGTCTTAAGAGAGATAGTGGGATTTCTACCTTTCATTCGAAAAACTGGATAGGTTCTAATAAGCTAGAGTTATTTGCTAGCACAAATATGTACTATTGATGTAGTGGTTTGCTTCACTTTTCTAATCTAAATCGTGATTATATAAAAACTTTAGTTTGTTTTTACTTTAACATAAACGTTGGTTAATAAGTTTTTTTTTAAATGATTTAATCAAAGTGATCTTTTCCAGACATTTTTTAGAAAACGTTCATTTTAATTGAAATACTAATACCAATACATAAATCTAGACTTATATCAGCCATTATTTATTTCATGGTCTTGCTGACCTTTGAAAATAGATCTGAGCTTCTTTCAAAATTGCACGATTGTTAAACTTTTTTTTTAAAAATTGATTGTATCACAAGATGTGAGGCATGTTTTTGGAGCCTCTATCGTCCAAGTGGAAATTATCTAATCCATGCTATAAAAAATCAGTAATTATGTTTCTGTAGCGTTATTTATCGGCGGTAACTGTAACGCCATAAAGTATAGTAGCCCATAAAGTACATTGATCCGCTTGTTTGTATGAAATGTGTTGTATGGACAGTAGTGAAGGTTTTTTTTCCCTCCCAAGTGTGACAATTTTGATTATTTACTAAGGCATTAAAGCAGAGCTTAGGTTCACAGCTAAACATGATTCTATATGCTATCGCC